TAAATGTAGTATTATATTACTATATTTTAAAAGTTAAGGAAAACAATTTTCAATTTAAAAACAAGTTGCTATGGTTACCGTGTGTTTACTTTTTTAAGTAATAGTTACACCAGACATCCAAAGAATTTCCACTAGTATAGAAAAATCAGTAGCTTATGTGTGTACACTGGTTATTCCATACACAACTTAAAACTGTACATATCACTTCCTTTCTAAAGTAACTATCATTTGGAAAATATTAAAGAAAATGACTCATCCTTTTTGAGTTGTATGTAACAGGGTGGAGACATACTGAACATACTATTTTAAAATTCAAGTAATGACTCAGTGTAGAACATTTTTTTTTTTAAATCAAAGAATACTGTAGTTTGTAGGGTGTGGTGGCACATGCCTTTAATCCCAACAATGGAGAGCCAGAGGCAGGTGGATCTCTGTAGGCCAGCCTGGTCTACAGAGCCAGTTGTAAGACAGCCAGAGAAACCCTGTCTTGAAAGGGGGCGGGAGAATGCTGTATTTCTGCATAACAGTTTTTAATGGCTAAAAGAGGAAGGTGTTTTTTGATGTGTTTGTGGCATGGAGTTTCTTTTTCAGGTACATTTTTATGACTTTAATAAGCTTATGGACTGCTATGATTGTAAACATTAAACAATGTTAATTACATTAATTGTAGCTGATTCTAAACTTCTTAAAGGGGATATCTTTTTAGAATCTATGACTAGTCCATTCTTAGTTAATTTAGTTGTTAACCCTGACAACAGTCATGCTGTAATTTTTATTGTTCATAGTAAACAGCATCACAGGTATACTTAAAAACTTTTGAGCCAATATAAGATTAGTCACTATATTTTGATGACCTTTACTTTTATTCATAATAGAATATTGTTTGTTTTTTAACATTAGGGATATTTTAAACTGAAAATACTTTATATTTAAAATAGAAACAAATAGTAAAGGGTCTTATCATAGCAGTAGGAGTTGAAATAGTGTGCTTTAGCTTGAGTGGTTTAGCTGTGACCATAGGGGTCCCTCACCTTTTCTTTTCAGCTTTTTTATCTGTCAGACTTAGCATGGCCTTCGGAAAAATTCTATTAGATCATAAGATACCCAGCATACTTACCAAACATACTGTTGTCCAGTAAGAGGGCCATCTCCTTCTGTTCCCCCCCCCAAAAAAAGTCTTTCCTAGAAGCACTGCAGCTGACTTTCCCTGGCATGTGACAGAGCAAGCTGGCTCAGATTGCTCATCAGTTACAAGTGAGTCACTTAGAGGTAGAATGGAACACTGTGATCACCCTTACTCCAGTTAGGACTCTCCAAGTCATGTGGAGTATAGAAGTGGACATCCAAACAAAACTGAAGGTAGACTGTGAGAAGGGAGGGGTTAAGATGTTGATAAGTAGGCAACCAATAGTAAGCTGCACATTACATAGAAAAGTTAACCCTACCATTGTCTTCCCATCAGTATACATTATTCACAACACACTAATGGAAAATACTGTGAGGGTTCTATAGGGTTTTTTGTTTTTTCTTTTTTTTAAGAGGGGGCACTCTTAAAACAGACTGAAGGAAACTCCTGTATAAATGTTACTGACATAAGAAAGTATATTTGAGAATATGAAATAGGAAAAATTACTCCTTTAGTTTTGACCAAATACAATGAAAATTTTATCTTCAAATATTTTCTATCAATCTTCCCTATGAAAACAAACCTCCTTTCTGCATCCTTGTGATCATAACTCATCAGTTAATCCCCTTTTAACTGTTGATTGGGCACCTGGGCTTATTCTGCTGCAGCCTGGCTGTTGTTAATGCTGTGATAATGAGGGTGCATAGCGTCTCTGTTACATGCTAACTTTGACGCCTTTGGGCATATACTGCACAGTGGTATAGATGAGTCATCTGGTAGTTCTGTTTTTAATTTTTTTGAGGAACTTCCATGTTGATTTCCATAATGACTGGACTAATTTACAGTATGTAAGAGTTATCAAATTGAAGTTGGATATGGCAACCCGACAGGAAGAAGAGACCCAAGAGTGGGCACAAGAGTCAGAGTTCTCATAGTTAGGAGTCTCATAAAACATAAGGTAATAGCTATAATATACACCCAGAGGACTTGGTGTAGACCCATGTAGGCCCCATGCTTGCTGCTTCAGTCCCTGTGAGCTCATTTGTTCCCCGCTTAGGTGATTCAGGGGCCCTTGTTCTCACCCTCCATCATCTCCTCTGACTCTTACAGTCTTTCTCTCTCTACTTCTGCAGGGTTCTCTAAGGTCTGAAGGTTGGAATTTGGTGGAGGACTCCCTCCCACATTTAGACTCTTTCCAAATAATGCTGTGGGTCTCTGCATCTTATTTTGGACATGTTAAAAATGTAATTTTACCAGTTTTTGTTTATCCTTTTAAAATGTGGTTACTATATAAGAATATTTAAATTACTCATGTAGGTATCTGTATATTTCTATTAGATCATATTGATCTAACATTTGAGCAGGTTATTCGTGCATTCCAAATGATGTTTTTAAAATTCAAAACCCTTTTCCCCAAATGTAAGAATGAGTTCTGATCCTAAAAGCTCCAGCTAGTTGGTATTGGTTTCTTTGTGGGGAAAAAAACCAGTGAGTTAAAACAAGAAAAAAAAAAGTAACAGTGAGGTTTGTGGATAGCTTTATAAAAAGCATTAATTAGTACCTGCCCTCTTCTTTTTAAGAGGCTGGACAGTTGGAAGGTACCTTTCTTGCCTGTACAGTTAATGAATTTGTATGCTGTTTACTTGCTCATCAGTGTGTGGTCTGTATTTCATATGTAAACCTCTGGTATATGTTGCGTTTTAGTACCTTGTGTTCTTGTACTTTGCATTTTTCTTGTTTATGATATAGCACCCTGTTAATATTGTATAATGTCTTAGCAGATGAAGATTTTTATACACACAATATTGATGTGCTGTGCATAGAAGAGATAAGACTTAATATTTGTTCAAATAATGCTATGGCATTTTTTTGGTAAGTGTCTTTAAAATAAATATTCTTGTTCAAGGTGGTTTTATGTGTGTTTTTAGATTATTACAGTATGCTAGACCTTGAGTAGAGTTGGCCAGATCTTGCCATCCTTTATTAATTTTTCTAAATTCATTAGATTTGTGTTGAACTGAACACTTCATTTTCCAGTCATGGTGTAGATGCTGACATTGTAGGATAAATTTTATGTGAAGAATGATTAGGATCCTGGGTAGTGATGGTACACACTCTTAGTTCCAGCACCCAGGAGGCAGAGGCAGGCAGATCTCTGAGTTCAAGGCCAACCTGGTCTACAAAAGCAAGTTCCAGCACAACCAGAGCTATACAATGAAACCCTGTCTCAAATCCCCACCCCAACCCCCCAAAAAATGATTGGGAAAACCTTCAGTGTAGAAGTTGGGCTCAACCAATCAGATGAAACTTCTTCAGTCAAAGTAGGTGAACTTATACATTAGATACTTTGGAATAAGTTAAAATTATTTTTTTTGTGTGTTTGAGTGAGGGGGGGTTCTGTTTTAGAGAAGAACCCTGAAACTTGGGGAGTAGGATGTTACTATAATTTCATTTTTATATGTTTCAAGTATTAGGATGATATATTTGATTCAATTATATAGAGATGGAGAGCATCATTTTTATATGTGCATATTTGTTCTTAAATTTTTTTGTGGGGGATTTTTTTACTAGGGAAAGGGAGACCGGCCTCTGGAGCCTAGAGGAAAGAGGGGACGAGAGAGAGGGAGAGAAAGAGAGCTAAAAGCATTTTACATATTTTAAAGTGACTAGTGGAAGCAGACATGGTGGTATATACATACAGCCCCATCTAATCGGGAGGTTGTTGAAGCAGGCAGATCTGTTCAGTGCAGCAGTTCTAGGCCAGCCTGAGCAACATTGCAAGAGCCCATTCTCCCTCCCCACAGAAGATAACTACTGAACCTACATGAATGTTGGTTTTTCTGTAGATGAGTAATTTATAATTTATAGCAATTTTTGTTTGTAATTTCTGTCATTCTTACCTATATTAAGCACTCCCATGGTTTAATAAGTAAATTGGCTTAAACAAAGAATAGCATTAAAATGCTCATTCAAAAACAACTTATTCACAAATCAAATAGATATTGTTAGAGGTGTTCTTTAATGATCATTTTTACCACATAGAAATTAAAGTTTAAAAAAATCTTAGTGGTAGTAGGAATGTTTTTTGGCATTAAGCATTTTAGGCATTTTGTTGATTGGGTCAAATAATTTCTGGGTTCTTTTTTCCTGTATGAAATGGGAATATCAGAGATGATTATATTAAAGGAGGGTGTGTAGCACCCAGCATAATGTGCTCAAAAGTGGCATGAGGTGGCTTATAAGAATAAGATAATAAAAGGGGAAAATACAGGTCAAGGTTGGGCAGGTGTTTCTTTGTAACAAATTGGGAAATATTCTTAGTCTGGGACAAAGTGGGAAAGGTAATGAAAGCCAGCTTAAAAGTAGTTTGGGTGGTTTTGTTGGCGGTGTTAGGATTAAACCCATGGCCTGCTACATGCTAGACAAGTACTGCAGCCCCAGCCCCCAAATGGTTGGCTTTCACACTTGATTGTAGCTCTTGGGGACTTGTTTGTTTGTTTTCCTCATGAGATTTCTGGGCTCTTTTGACATGTGAGAAATTCAGGACAAGAATTTTCAACAATTGTTTTATACAGCTGCTTAATGGGTTTTTAATATATGAAGGTATTTATTCAATGAAAATTTAAAGGGTTCATAAATTTTAATATTAGGATTTCTACCTTTATGAAATTTTAAGTTTTTTCTTTAAAAAGTTTGAGTCAATAAATGATTGAATCCATTAACTTAGAAGACATAGCAAGCCTTAACTTTTGTTTTCTTTAAACCTCTTTTCATTCTAGAAAATAACATACATCTGAAGGGGGAGAAGAAGGAGAGAAGAGGGGAGGAGAGGAAGGAAAAGGTCTTGAGAAAAATAAGAGAAATGCACTTAGGTTCATGGTTTTAAATCTGATAGAATATTTCTCTTTCCTCTCTTTATGAATTCACAGACATTCTTACTGCAGCTGCTGTCATGGAGTTAAACATTTGCTGTACTGTCGCATATGAAAGCAGTTAATCTGTTTGGGACTGTTTACTTGCTAAAGCCTGTGTTAGTCAGCAGAGGCAGTACACCAGATTTCCTTGTGGCTTTTAGTGGAAAATGTTAAAAGCGCACTTATTTTTCAGTTATAGAATTTTCAGTTTGATCTGAATTAGTCACAGAACTGGCATGAACCCTCTAATTGTGAAGGCTGTCCAAATGCACTATTTTTTTCTCCTGCTAGAGGAAGTTACATCCTGAGCAGCTCAGCTCTCTGGTAAGTGTAACATGTGAGCATTACTAGGCATTTCATCCTGCGGGTCTGCGGGCTTGCTCTTCAGACTGTTGCTCTGCTGAAACGCTTCTGTGGGACCAATTCTGAGGTTATGTGGATATTTCTCAAGAACCTACTCGTTTGAGGATATCAGAGGCCTTTTGAAAGATCATCCGAGGAACAGGAAAGCGTCTGAAATCAACTGAAAAGGGTAACTGCAGCGGTTGTCACCGGGGACGGGAACTGTATTGGCACAGAGGCAAATGACTGAATAAAGTAGTTGGCTCAGAGAAGATGCACAGTCTGCTGTTTTTCCTCTGAATGAAGACTGTTTAATGGAAGCTGTACTCCTGTAGAGATGAAAGGAAATACTGGGGTGATAAACTACTTTCTTCCCTTCTCTTTAAAATGAAAACTCTGAAGCAGTAACTGGAGCTCAAAGGTCTTCTGATTCGTTTGCTGTCTGCTTGTTGTGCTAGGATTCTCCACTGACACCATTTCTGCCTGGTGCCTGTGTCTTTTTACTGGGCAGCCAGAAACGACTGCCTGATGGAGAAAGAATGAAAGCTTTGCCTTGCCCATGTTACTGACAGGATAAAGCTGTCTGCGTTTCATCTCCTCTGTGCGAAGTCTGGATTAATCAACTTGTGTTCTGGTACCAGAAGTCCTGTTGTCTCCTGCGATCTGACTCATCACGTGTAAACGTGCTGCAGCTCTGCTGTTAGTGCAGAGTGGTAGCCGCTTTTCTTTCTTCCCTAAACACAGAGGGCGCTGTCAGCCCCTGAGCTTCATTGTCAGGGTTATGTTAAATTCTATATTTCAGGGTTTGTTGTCTGGATAATATCTGTATGAAGTCAGTGAAGCTGAAAAAATGAAGACAAATTACAAGTGGAAACAGAATAGTGAGAATCTGTTTTATTTTCAGCTACAAGCCGCTCAGCCTACTGGTAACTATATGACCTTGCAGACAAGAGGGGGGATATCGGTGGCCACCTCTATCACAGCAGTTGTTTCTAATTTCATTTTTTATGGTGTGGTGTCGTGTCACCCAAAACAATGATTGTTTTGTACAAGTAAATTTCAGAGCTCATTTTAACAATTTAACTATTTTGGTGAAAGAAAAGTATTTTTGAAAGAATTAGCCCTAGACTTGAATTTTAATTATTGACACATTGTCTGCAGTAACGCGGCAAAAAAAAGAAATAGGTTTTTATTTCTAGGGAGTTATGTTTCATAATTTTAAAGTTCAGTTTCTGTACTATTGCTCACTGTAAACCAGCAGCACTGCTCAGAGAATGTTCATAAGTGGTATACAGAAGAGGAGGAAAAGCTGCTCGCACTCTTCCCACTCTGTCTTCTATCACATAGCTTGAAGCTTAATGTTTTAAAAGAGCGAATGAGTCGAGTGTGTATTGTTGTTTTGGAGGAGGTAGAAGATGATTCTCCTGTATTCATTTCTAACTTGCCCCAGGAAAGTAAATCTCTACATTCTCCACCTTCTGGAAATGTATTGGTAAGCTATGAGAGTTTTTGTTGATTATATTTTATAGAGCTAATTATATAAATTTAATTTTGAAGGAATACACTGAGTTCGATTTTACTAGTTGCATTAGAAGCTCCAGGCTTCTATGATACTTGTATGATGTAGTATTTGTGTGTAAAATGAGCACATTTCTGAGTTCTTCTTTTTCAAATACTTTGGTCCCACTTTAGACTACATCTATTCATCTCCTTATGAGGACTTGAAAATAAACCAAGAAGTAGTTATGAAAGCATGCTCTTGTTTTCTTTTGGTTTTAGAACTGATCTGACAAGAATCAGGGACTTACATACTTTTGAAAAGGTTGATTACTACAACAACGTCAAGGCTTAGCCTTTTCTAGAAAGAATTTTGCCTATTTGCGTGCAAGACTATATTAAAAAGAACCAGAATATATCCTTAACCTTATTTTGAATGCTGTTGTCAGCTAACTCCTTATTTGACTAGTATAATATGAATATGATACCTTGCAGAGTCTTTGTTGCTGATTAGGAAATTATATTTAGACATGCATATGTTTGTCTTTTCATGTTACTCAGATGTATACTGTTTTTTTGGTCTCTGACTAGTAGTTATTTTTTATCAGTTGCTAAATTTCTTTTCTGGGGTTTCTGTCATTTTATACACATAGTGAGAATCCTATGTATGTTATATTCATGCCCTGAACAAACCTTTTCAAAACCTTCTTCTTTCATAGCCTTCAGTGGATTAGGAATTGCTTATTTGGCTGGTTCTATTCCAAAAATAGATTTGAATTATCAGACTTATATTTGTATGTCTTTGTTTTCATCATGTATAAGCAAAGGGCTTTCACATGAGAAATAAAATGAGTGTCTATTCTATTACTTAATTTTGTTCAAATTGCTTTTGAAAAGATTTATTAGTTAGGCTTCTTTACTATTCCCCCAGGATGAACCCTATACTTTGATATGAAATGTCTGATTTATATTCCTTACCCCCTCCAAAATTATGGCTGCAGGGGAGAAAATAAATATTAGACTTATAAATCATGCAAAAATATCTTTAGAATTATACATATGATGTGATTAATGTTTTACTCCTTTTTTTTCAGCCATCACTTGTGCAAGCTATATTTAATGGTGATCCAGATGAAGTTCGAGCACTAATATTTAAGAAAGAAGATGTTAACTTTCAGGTAAAGCAGTTAATTCACTTACACCAACCTTTTTAATTACCACTCCCCCTCCACAAAAGACAAAAAAGCCCTCTTTCTTAATATGTGATTTTGCTTGCATGTTTTTGTTTGAAAACATAATTCTGCAACAGTTGTTTTCAGTCAAGGCAGGAGAGTCTTGTTTGAGATCAAAAGGGGTACACTGGATGTATCTGAAAACCCACAGCTCTTCAAAGCCAATGGAGAAGGGTTTGGCTCCAAACTTTTTTTTTTTAAATTAAATTAAACACAGTCTTATTTTACATAACAGTCCCAGTTCCCTCTCCCTCCCTTCCTCCCATTTCCGTCACCAACCAACCAACCAACCAGCCCCCTGTCCCACTTCACATCTCTTCCTGGGGGGGGGGGCTCCCATGGGGGATCATCAAAGTCTGTCACATCAATTGGGGCAGGACCTAGACCATCCCCTGTGTATCTAGGCTGAGAGAGGATCCCTGCACAGCCCATTAGTGCACTAGGGATAAATACTGGTCCCACTGGCAAAGGCTACATAGACTGTTGAGGCCTCCCAACTGGTCCCTACATTCAGGGCGCCTGGTTCGGTCTTATGCTGGTTCCCCAGCTGCCAGACTGGGGTTAGTGAGCTCCCATTTGCTCAGACTCTAAACTTTTTACTTTGAAAATTTCAAATACAGGAATGTTGAAAAAATAGTCTGAAGACCCTTTCCTTGGTTCAGCATTGATAATATTTTACTGTTTATTCTCATAACAAGGAAGGGGGAGGATGCACATTTTTTCTTTTGTTGAATCATTTTGAAATATCATTCATTGCAAATATGATATTTCATAATTTTTTTTAGATATGTGAGTGCTTTTAAAAACTTGATGGAAAAGATTTTTGTAAAGTTAAGATGTATCTAATTGGATTATGAGATCAGATGTGATTTCTATAAATATGAGAGCTATATGAAGACTTTTTATTAGTGTATATTTGCTATACAAAATGGTGGGCTTTATTAATGACATTTTTGTTCAAATAAATCATGTACTTTCTTCCTATTTACTCTGCATTACCCTTTCCTATTCTCCCTATCTCTTACTCTTTTCAAATAGTCTTTCTATTTTCGTAGGTCGTATTTGTGTGGCTCTGTGTAGGTAGGTAGGTACGTACATACGTACATACATACACACGTACACATACAAAGACTCTTGATTTTTAATTAGACTCAATTACAAGGGGCTAATTGTTTGAAAACGTTTTGAATTTAAGAATATAGTAGATGCAGCTGGTGCACCCCTTTAATCCCAAGCACTCTGGAGGCAGAGGCAGGTGGATCTCTGTGAGTTCGAGGCCAGCCTAGTCTGTTAAGCGAGTTCCAGGACAGGCTCCAAAGGTACAGAGAATCCCTGTCGGGGGTGGGGAGAGAGAGAGAGAGAGAGAGAGAGAGAGAGAGAGAGAGAGAGAGAGAGAGAGAGAGAGAGAGAGAGAGAGAGAGAGAGAGAGAGAGAGAGAGAGAGAGAGAGAGAGAGAGAGAGAGAGAGAGAGAGAGAGAGAGAGAGAGAGAGAGAGAGAGAGAGAGAGAGAGAGAGAGAGAGAGAGAGAGAGAGAGAGAGAGAGAGAGAGAGAGAGAGAGAGAGAGAGAGAGAGAGAGAGAGAGAGAGAGAGAGAGAGAGAGAGAGAGAGAGAGAGAGAGAGAGAGAGAGAGAGAGAGAGAGGATGTGATACTGAAAGCTGACACGCTGGAAAGTGTAAGAAGATATGTAAGAGATATTTACATATATATTATAGGGCTGTTTGTTCTGAAATAGGGTCCTGCTGGCCTTTTTCAACTTATTAAACTTGCTTAAAGAATATAATTTAGTAAGACAAAATAATTTCATTAATTTATAAATATTTTCTGGAAACAAATGTTCCTCTGAGCTAAGGATGGCATGAAAAGACTCATGACTTCTAAGCTGCTGTAACAACACCAAAACTGATATTATAAACTTTTTTTGTAATTATAAGAAAGCATATACTGAAGCACATCTTGAACTCTGATGTTTCTTTTTACCTTTATATAAGAGTACTGTGACCATTTAGTGTTGGTAGATATTTAAAAGTTTATCTTTTTTAAAATTCAGCTTATCTGCATAGATTTGTATTATTGGCTCAAATGGTTGATTTCTAAGAACATGGAGTACTGACCTAGGGACTACTTAAGACCTTTTTTAAGTAAATGACTTCTTGGTTTATATTTAGCTGAAGAAGCATGTACCTAATTCAAGATTTATTTATTTTAAATGGAGTATATGGTTCACTTCACCTAATTAGGCTGTCTTAGCAAATCCACTTTGCCTAGCACAGGAAATAGTTGTAGGGGTATAAATGTATGAGCAGAAGATAAATAAACATACACTATTTTTTTGGTTTTTAATCTTTACCTTTAATAATACTAGCATTTTTTTTAATTTGGTGAGGATCTCAGGAATAATCTAATTACCATGGCTAATTACTCCATCATTACAAAGCTCGTAGGCACCATTGCTTCTCTACTTTATCTAATCAAAATACCTTAAACAAAAAGTCTTTTTTCTCTGTGGCTTTGGAGGCTGTCCTGGAACTAGCTCTTATAGACCAGGCTGGTCTTGAACTCACAGAGATCCTCCTGCCTCTGCCTCCCAAGTGCTGGCATTAAAGGTGTGTGCAGTTAGCAATATAAGAAATATCAGTGACCTTTCTTTGAGGAAACTGTAACAGGTTCCTAGTAATAACAAAGGTTAAGTGTTGAAGAATTCTACTCCTTGAAACTCAGATTTCGTGTTTTTAAAGGTTATTTTGTCCAAGTGTGTATATGGCGTGCTCACGTGTGTGTGTGTGTGTGTGTGTGTGCGCGCGTGCGCGCGCGTGTGCGTGTGTGCGTGCGCGTGTGCATGCTCATGTTTCTGCATGTGGAGATTAGATGTTGACACTGGATGTCTCCTAGAGTTTCTCTTCTCCTTAGATTTTGAGCCAGGGTCTTTTACTTAAGCTAGAGATTTGCCTATCTGGGGTTGCAGCTCTGACTGGGCTTGCAGAAGCTTGCTTCTATCCTTAGCTGTTGCATAGCTCCTGGGGATCTGAACTCAAGGCAATTTAGTGGCTAAGTAAATGGAATCTTATTGTATGCTTAACTTGTTGATGGTAGTTGTTTGTTGTAGTGTCGGTGGTCAAATTCAGGGTCTTAGTATGATAGTTGAATAATTTACTCCAGAGCAAGATGATTGATTATCAGTCCGTCTTCTAACAATACTGAGTTTTGGACCAGAGTCTTGACAGAGTGAAATGAGTAACAACTGCACATACTCAAAACAGACAAAGCAGAGAGAATATTTCTAGATTTCCTTAGGGGCAAACATTTTTCCTAGAATACTGGCAAAACAGCCCCTGACGTCTTGGTGGTTACAGGTGTCAGTCTGTTTGTCTAATTTGCTTATGTCAGTTATGATTTGTTGCCTGCTTTGTTTCTTGGGGAAAGAATAGAGGCTTGTTTTGATTGCTGTGTCTGGAGTGGGTCCAAATTTTCATAGGAAGGAGGAACAGAAAAATAGTGGCTTACATGTGTAACTTAACAAGGATAGCTGGTTCTTTTACAACAGAAATAGCAAACTGTTGGAAAAATGAAAAGTTGTTTATGAAAGAAACACTGTAAACCACTAGGGATAGATAAGAGCAATTAAAGATATATTGGTGTTTATAGTATAAAGAACATTTGGACTATGAATAGAATTTTCTTCATTTTTGACATACAGCTTTGAACAAATCCTATTTACTTAAGCACTAATGTTATGTATACTTTTGTTGTAAATATGTAGGATTACATTAATGAGCTTCAGAGTCATTCTTAAACCCAAATTTAGGATTCTCCAAAAATCTTCAGTGACTTTGAATGCCTTCCTGATTTTACACAGGAAAGTTCATTTGTTTCTCTTGATTTTATATGACCAAAATAATAATAATAAATGTCTTTCCTTAGACTTTATAAGAATTTGACGTCATGTTGTAGTTCTCAAATAATATAATCTGAAATATTGATGGTGCCCCTTTCAGAGAAAAATCTGATCCATTCTTACAGGAAAGCTGTTTTTCTACAAGTAGAAATTGTTTGTCTGTATCTGGAGTGGTAAAAGTTAGTGTTACAAAATTTGACTTTAGAAACTTTTTTTAAAAAATGCTACTTTCTTTTACTCAAAGAACAGTCTTATAATGCTAGCAGAAAAAATATTTATATTTCATCATTCAGTGTCAAAATGATATTCACAATAGTTAAAATCTCTAGGATTGGTAGGCATGCACAATATTTAGATTTTTTTAGCTTATGTATTTAGGCAAGTTTCTTTTGCCAATATTTTATACTTTCATTGAATATTATTTTTGTCAGGTTTTTCTATATTCTATGCTTTTTGTTCCTAATGTAAATGGTGTTTCATTTGAAATGCTTAATTTTTTCCTTTGTACTCAATCTGTTTAACAAGCCCTCTTTCCTGTAACATAGCCATTCTTACTGAAGATGACATTACTTCCAGCTAAGCAAAAAGAGTTTGTGAGTATGTTGGGAAAAGCTTACATGCTCTGGCAGTCTGTGTCAAACAAAAGGCTAAGGTATTTAAATTACAAGTACTGTGACTTTAGCATTTCCATACCTGAGATGAATCATTCACCTGGAGGAAAGTTCTTTATGGTGATGCATATCCACTGGCCAGAATGCACAGCTGCTCCTTTCTGTTGGGGAAGTCCTGTTATTTGCCTGTTATTTGTCAATAAAGTACTGTTGAGCCTATAGGAATCCAGATAGGTGGGGCTAGGTGTCCAGGAGGATTCTGGGAAGGAGAAACACAAGAGAGTCGAGATGTAACGCCATTGGGGTAGGAAGCCCGGAAACCTCTCCGGTAAGAAACATACTGAGATTAACAATTATGGGGTAATTGCTTAAAGCAGAGCTAGCCAGGAAGAAACAAGCAAGGCCAACAGCTTCATAATTAATATAGCGTCTTGTGTGTTA